GTGTTATTGAATACACATTTTGTCGAAAGCTAAAAAGAGTGAAAATCCGGACTTATTGTCATGCTAGGCCTGATAGTTTATGCAACGGTCCCAAAGATATTCCTCTCTTTCATACCACATTAAATTATTGTGTATCGTTTCACTACTGCTATGTATGGCATGGACTTAACTCGGACGGAGTTTATGGATACGATGTTTGGGTTTATGGGTGTGGTAGTCGATGTCGAAGATAACTAATATTAATCATGTCGAAAAAAAAAATAAGAAATTAGCTTGGAAGGCGCTTGCCCATATCTTTGCTATATTAAGATGAATCACTAGTGGACTTGTTTTTAATAATCCCGTGAAACTCCATAAATTTGTGGGAGTTAAGCACAATGGTTTAGCTAAGTTGATCAATACAAGCTATAGAAGTTAACAAAACTAACTAAGAATTTGGGTTTTTTCCGCCGTTATAAGTATATTTAACTTATATCCAAGTGCAGCCACTCAAAAATTTCATGTTTAATGCCAATTGGGTGAGTACCATTACTTTGGTGGCAGTCTGTTAGAATCCAATATACAAATGTGTACAAGCAACTCGTTTCGCATTTCCAACAATTTGTTACACAAGCTAAGCACTTGCTTTGCATATCTGAAAAAATATGCCGTTATCTTTCGACACAGTGTGCGCAATAAGTATGTGCATACATCACGACGATGGACCACTTTGAAGGTCTTCAAGTCAAAAGTTACCAACAACATTCTGGGTGCTTTCAATGAAATTGCAATTCAAATATTTTTGACGACCGTGCACATATTATTTGTTTGGAGCATTTTTAGCGTTTTATTTCATTATTATAACGGTTATTATTATTATTATTTTTGCATAGGCAAATATTCGCCACTTGACGAGCAGCTGCCTTGAGAGGTTTTGCACTGTTTCAAGTGCGCTGATGACTGCATGCAAACGTTGCTGTGTATGTGTGTGTGTGTGTAAGACATAACGTGTAGTTGTATTTGTGGGTGCGTGTGTGTGTATTTCCAAGCGTGTGTTTGTGTTCTTCAAGTATTTACCGTCAAAAAAGTGGGTGTACGACGGCAAGCGGGCGCGGAGTTGCCAGCAAGTAACAAATGTAACTAAGTATTTGCTTAAAACTTATTTGTTTGAGTGTGTGTGTGTGTGTGTGCATGTGTATGTGTATAAATACATGTATATGTGCAGCGCACCGGGAAGCACCCTAGAACTAACTCTCTAAGTATTTTCGTGCAATAAAGTGGCATTTACATACATATGCTTGTGTGTTAGTTAGTGAGTGTGATTGCGCTAGTATATGTTTGTGGGTGTATGTGTGTGTGCGGCATATAACTCGTTACAAATGTTGCAAATGCAATTTTCTATGACTGCACGCAGTCTGCGCACAAGTTATCGAGCTGTTCAAGCGCGCGCCACGAGGCGACGAGGTGACGAAGCAGCGAAGAGGCAGCAGCTGCAATGCTTGAGTGTGACTTACAGGGTGGCTGAGCTCCGACAGCTGAGCCGAAGATTTTGCTGCAGCTTCAGCTTTTTGCTACCGCTTTGCCGTTGCGTTTGCTCCAGCTGTGGCAGCAACTACCTGCCGTTCGTCCAAATCGTCGCCTAACGACCACCAACAACAACAAACAGCTAGCTTCGTTACCTTGACTATCTTTGTCTGACTGCTTGCTGTAGTGGGTGTGCGTGTGTGTGTGATTGTATAGCTGTATCCACTACTTGGACTTGGATTGCTTTTACTTCTCCTATTTCTTCTTCTTCGCTTTTGTGGCCGCGCTGCCGCTTGCTGCCCGCATTACGTTGGCTTGCTTTCTTGACGTTAAGTGCATTTCCTACTTTCACAAAGAATTCTCCAGGCGCACACATACACACACGGCATTTGTAGCGGCGTATCGAATTATATATTTTACGCTTGAATTTTTCTTACCTGCACAGGCACGCACAAACTCACACATCTATAGGCACACTCCTTGAGTTAGTCCATAGAGCCAAATATTCACGCGCATACAGTATATACATTTGTGTGGCAGTGTTTGTATATTTTATCATGCCCAGCAAGTAGAATTATTCGCAATTTTTAAATATTTCGCAGATTAGAATACATTTTGAGCCTGAAACGGTTGCAATTCTACAGAAGTTAAATAAGCTCTAACTGAGACATTTTCAATTTATGACTAGTGAGTATAGTTAAGGATTTAGTTAATTTTTCGATTACAATACGGTTACTTTAATAGCATAATGTTGCCATATGTGATATATTTTTTAAATAATAATGTTACTTAAACTTGAAAAAGACAGGTTCGAAATATATTTTTTTCAATATTGATAAGAAATATATAAATATATTTCAGAACACGTGAGATTACCTCGAAGAAGCAGAATTTTATTTCTTGTCTATTGATTTATATTATTTATGTTATATTTTTAAAATTTCTTTAATCTTGCTTTGAATGCAAAATATCACCTCCTACAAAACCTTTCAAGAGCTTTGAAAGATGGGCTCCTGAGAGGCCTAGCTCAGGTAAGTACAATAACACTAGTTTTTAATAATATATACCTATATTATTTATTTATGTGGAAGCATCTTTTCTTTAGTAAAAGCTGAGCTTATTGATGAAAGTTTATAAATAGATAAAGCTCAATGAAAGCTTTTTACATAAATACCTGTAGACTGGGAAAGTGTTGGTAGCTCATTTCTTAATGACTGCTAAGCTGAAACTCTTAGTATTTAAGAGAAGAAGTATTTAAAATGTTGTGATTCACGCTTTGCCTATTAATATTAAATATAATTCCCTAAAGATACAGACTCTCGAGTTAAAACTTCGACAAAGTTATTATATACAATAGATCTTAATTTATATTTTTTCAATGTCGAGAAATAATATTATATAAGATTTTATGAAGCTCTTTCAAAAAAAATTCTTTATAATATTCTTTGGTATAAATTTACGTTATTTTTGTATATATTATAAATTTCCAAAGGTAGATCTATATATTCAGTATAAGTATATACTAAGCATTAGTGCAGTTTTAACTCAGACTTGCGTTTTGCACTCCAAACTTTCACTCGGAAAATTTTTAATTTTAACAAAGTCTGGAACTAAAAGGTCCATTGAAATGCTATCCTTTAGAAAGGCTCACGTGGTGAGTGTGAATATGAGGTAAGGTTGAAGCATCTCGATTGCCATACTTTTAACGAACCCGGCGAATTGGTTGGAATTGATATTAGCCCCCTCAATAAATTTTTGGCAGGCTCTAGGCGTTTGGCAATATGTGACGTTTTTTTTTGATCCATACTTAGTAGTTCCGGGCACCACAACCGACAAGCGTCTCTAGCCGTCCAAGGGACATTATTCGTCGTTTCACGAGAAATCAGCCTATTTACCTAACCTAATCTAACCTAATGCAAATAGTGGAAGTACACTATACTAGTAAAATAAAGCGTTTCTATAAGCCGCAATATTATGGTTCGTATGTTGGTGCGCGCATCCCATACAAAGATGTTTGGTCACCTGAACAAAGAACACAAAGATGTGACGATAAACACTTACGCATTATAGAACGAATTTATATCACTCTTAAGCGACTACTTGAACATAAATGATTATGAAAAATGTTTCAAGTCGCTAAAATTGCTTTCGAAAAAGTGCATCTTCTCAGCGCATCTCTTCTTAGCTAAAAAAGGTATTTATCAGTGAAGGGGTGGGTATAATATCAGTGAAGGTTATGAGACTACCATAGGGTTTCGCCTAGAGAGACCTTCGATAGGACTCTTATTTACAAAGAAGTTCGTATGTTGAGCAGATTTATTTCAAAAGTCGTACAGTGTGGAGTCAGAATCGTTGACACTACAGCGAAGAAACGGATTTGGAAAATCTATTGAGCTTAAGATCTAATTAGGCAATTAAAGTTTTTTGTGAACAGCCAATGTAAGATCTGTTCGGTTAATAGCATATAAGTTAGTTCTAAAACATTAGTCGGCATAATTATGATCATTAGGATTAACTGAGTTTTCTTTCTTCAGTGACTTCAGTCACATTTATTTTAGCCGGATATCCTCCTATATTAAATCCAGAGGCTAGAAACACATCCTTTTATCGAACAATTTAGTTCTCCAAGTTCAAAGAAATAACAAGGTAAAATTGTTCATACATTATTGAATTGTCTATGATAAAACCACTCAGGAAAAATTAAAAATTAATTAAAAGTTGAGAGGCGATTCTACATTTATCGTTTTCCAGAACAAGTGGATTGCCACTTTACCGTGGAAATTTGTAATTTTCAGGTTTTCAAGTAATGTTTTACCACTCTTTTCATTTTCGAATAAGTAAAATTATTATTGTTGTTGTTGTAGTAACAGAAGAAACTCTCTCAATTACTTTCAAGGAATTCTGCCGAATTGACGATTATTTTCGAATAAAAATTCAGGTTCGATCCGTTTGTGTAGGAATGATAAAGCGGTATGGTGAATTAGTTAGTCGATCTAGCCAACAATCATATTGAGGTAGAAATAGTTACGAAGTATCTGTAGAATTCTCAAGAGATCCTGCTAGAAATAGAGCAACTTCGTGAACCGACTCGACCGGTTCTTCCCAAGGATTATGGTAGTTCTGTAGTGAGTTGCAGTAAATACTCAAGCGCAATCGGTGGTGTAAGATACTCTAAAATACTTGAAGAGTATTGCTGAAGTTGAAAATTTCATGACATTTCGATGACGAATTATTATGAAACCCTTTAGATCAGAGCGCATCTTTTGGTTATGACGGCGCACTAACATTTCATACAAAACTTTTGATCAACACAAGTGAGTCATGATTGCGAAATCTCTAGAAGGACAGCATATTTGCAATAATATGGGCGTGTGTGGGTATAAGCATATGTTTGTATACATATATACATATATACCTATATAAATGTTGATTTACGAGTATGTGGCGTGTATGTATAGGTGTGTGTGTGTTTGCTTTTGGTAGCTCAGCGCACTCACCATTAAACTCATTCATTTACACTTGAAGTTTTTAATTACCGTCGCTATGATGTACGAGCCGTGTGGGATTGATGCTGCTACCGGGCTTCATGGCAAGCTTGCTGTTTGTTGACGATGTTTTCGTTGTTGCTTTAAATGCTTTTTTTTTTTGTTTTTTTTTTTGGTTTGTTGTTGCTGCTGCTTTCACTTTGTTATTATTTGCTTTTTGAGAGTTGCGGCTCACTGTTTTTGTTGTTTGTATTTTTATAATTTTTTGTTGTTGTCGTTCTTGCAGTTGATATTTTAGACGCTCCACCGCGACCACCGAGTTTCTTGAGATTCCACCGTCGCTACTTCAGCAGCTGCTGCACACACTCCCACTTTTACCCATGTTGTTGTTTATACATATATATGTATCTGTGTATGTATGTGTGGTTGTCTGCAGACTCATTTACCGTTTGGCGTGCGCTCACCGCACTCACACGCTTACGTACATATGTATGTCCTAATGTGGCAGCTTCTTCTTCGCTTGCCTCTTGCTTTAGTCACTGCGGTAGGCAGTTGTTTAACGCTCGTTTTCCGCCTGCATGCGCCAACAACAATCGCCACAAATACACAATTCTATATTTACATGCGCTCAAGTGCTTGTTATTTTATTTCATGTGGTTCGGTGGTTGGGTGAATGTATGTGCGGCTGTGTGTTGGTGAGTTTGCACTTGTGAAATTTCACTTTCAGTTGGCGCATTACGCGAACACACACATGCACACAAACAAAGTTTTGCTTTGCGTTTCTTGCTTTACAACACTACTGTGTTTGCTGTTATTATAGGTCCTTAATTTTGTTGCTTTTGATGTTTGATTTGTGTTTTTCATACGTTTCGGTTTTTTACTTTCGCTTTCGTTTGAGTTTCTTTTCACTGTCGTCTATGCACTTGCGTTTATTACTTTAATTCCTTTTTCTAGTTTGTTGGCAATACTGCCATTCAAAAGTTTGCTCACATGTAGTAATTATAAAAGCTGTTGTCGTAATATTTTAAATAATATTACTCACTTTGTGTTGCAATTTTTAAGAAGAAAATTTAGAAAAATATTTAAGGTTGGTGAAAATAGATAAGAGTTTTTTGGGAATATATATACGATTATATTATATATGTATATTAAACATTTTTCTTGATTTTTTTCATGAATATTTCAACTTTTAAAAAATTTGCTCAAATACTTATCAATTTTTGAATACACTTGCCCTTGTACAATATATAATATTGTGTTGAACACAATAATTTTTTTGACTCTTGCAACATGCTGCTACAGAATATAATAGTTTTATTCACCTTACGGTTGTTTGCATCGCCTAAAACTAATAGTGAAATCCGATGAAAGCGGTAACAAAATTGGAAAATGGGCGTGTCATCGCCCACATTTACATGAAATCACATATCTTCGGATGTAATAGACAAATTTCAACCAAATTTATTGCATGGGATAATTTTGACACTTCCTTGTTAAATCGAATAAAAACCACGCCTATATCCCATATTACATAATTTTAAATTTCATCTGATTTTTTCACTTTGCAATGTACAAATCAAGCACCAATTAATATATTTGAATAAAATTTTACACGAATAGTCACGAACTGTCCACATCCTAGAGCCTATGGCTGACTTTTTGCCAAAAATATCGGTTTATGTGCGAGAAATATAATTGACATTAGGAGAAAGTACTTTCCTGATAACAGTAAGTCTTTATGTCAAAAGTGTTGAACCGGTCAATATTTCCCTTAGCCCTCATATACCTAACAGGAAGATTTTCTAACTTCCGCACATATTTTGAAATTTACTATTCGAAATGAGTAACCTTAAAACTATTGAGGAAGAGACAAAGCGATTCAAATATACCGCAGAGTCAACCTCATCGATATTTTCATTTGACAAGAACATTGGTCAATTCAGATCGAATACTTGCAACCGAAAAAACAAAAATATCAATGCGGAAAGTCTTCAGTCTTCAAAATTACTATTAAAGGTGTTACTTACATAAGTATAAGAGATACCGTATATATTCTGATATATATATATATGAATTTCCAATAAGTGTGTCCTCAATAATTCAAAGAATTCGCACAGAAAAACGCGAGGAGCGTGCGAAATCTATTAAAACTGATATTTAAAATGAGATGCAAGAATTTGTCACTGTTTACTTTTACAAATGACAACAAGCCCGTGTATTTCGCATTTTTAAAAGTTTCAAAATAACTGGCTGAGTGTTGACCAAAACGACATACAGCGCTATAAAGTTATAACAAGTTTCCAATAGATAAAATTAATTATTATTATAATTATTAAATTAAAAACTCGACCGCTTCAAAGTAAGGTGATTGGTGATTGGCGAGAACGATTTATACCCCTTTTTGCTTTTGGAAGTCAATGAAGACTCAGGAAAATATCGATACAAGGTGTGGAAAGCTACTTTACAGAAATTAATCCAGCATATATAGTGTGGTATACCGATGAAATAGCTGACTCTAAACCAAGAAATTAAAGTTAAAATGATACAAAAGTTAACCAAAGAGAATCCGTCAACCCATGGTAAACGCTACATTCTATATAAGAAAAACTCAGTGGTTCATTGTTTGGTAAGTTTTACTAACAAATATAGTTTATTTTATATTCGTTATATTTTTTAATAAATTAGTAATTTTCATTCAGAAAACAAACATCTACGACTTTGTATCAATAAAAAGTTAAGCGCTGTTCACCCGGCTTCAAATGCACACCGGAAGTTTTATCCTAACTATAAAAGCAAACATTATAAATAAAATTTATAGAATAATATTTTTTTATATATATTATTAAATAGTAATATGTTTTGGTTATATTATGTGTTACTAATTAAATAAGCTTGAACTTCTAAAATCTTCTATATTTATTCGGTAAAAAAATTAATCTGTTATGTTCGGCATCCAGTCAGCATGGATTGTCATGATACAATCAACAGTATTTTTTATTTATGCTAATAAGGCCATTTTGAAAAAAAAAATGGAGAGCATGCGATTTAATTTTCGAGAAAAAAATCTTGATTTATACTTTAGGATACCACAATGCATATATGTATATGATAAATATTGGGTCTATAACTACATATATTCGCGCGATTTGACAAGAGTTGGTGTAATTTGATTATTATTGTTCTGAACATGCGTTGGAAAGTTACTGTCCTTAAGCCTCTTTTTCAGTAAATAAAATATCTATTATTTCAATCAATTATGTCTAGTTTTGAGCTTGAAAAAACTAAACTTTAAGATAAAAAAACCTGGAAGCATTACAGAAAATTGTTGCCAAAGAGAGCCAGCAGAATATTTAGAAGTCACTCGAGCCATAGAGAAGAAAAAGTAAAAACAAAAAAAAACAAAAATTTGTACGCACAAGAAGATTTTTATAATCGAGAAATCATATTGTATTTTATATACCGTATACATATGTATATTTATGTTGAAAGATTATAGGTTATGTATGGAGACTTGCGGTGATCAATCAGTAGCCAGATGTATAAAAATATAGTTCTATTTTCACTGCAACGTCTTATTTAGTAAATATGCCGAATATATATTGTTTTGAATAGAAAAAGAGTTTTGGCTCAATGTGTATATATTTTTTCATTTTAAAAAAGATTTTGTAGCGTACACTATAACAGGCGGTACGATTCTGAATCTAATCTTTCTGAATATGACATTTGGAACAAGTGGCAAGTTGAAGTTTTAAGCAGAGCTAAGTAATTGTTAAAATCGCCAGAAAAAAATTCAAGCCATTATACATATGTACACCCATTAAGTATCCTTAGAAATAAATTGAGGTCTGCATTGCGACATGTGGTCTTTTTGTATATGTGACAGATGACCAAAAAGTAAACCGTAAAGCTAATGAGAAGCTGTACAAAAGTATTTAAGTCTCACAGTTTAGTTGAATGTGTCTCAAGCACGAACTGTTAGCAGCAGACTTTGATTGCTAAATATCGTAGTTATATATATACTATTACTGTACTTACGTTTATTTTATTGTACTCAAAACTGTCTACTTAAGTCTTTGTTTGTTAAAAATCAAATTTTCTACTATTCAAATCAGGTGGCAACGTAATAATTGCTTTGTTGTTGTTTTTTCATTCCAAATATTGCACAATTCATAAGTATTGTGCTTGATTTTTTAATTTTCAGCTTAATGTTCAGAGAATTAATAAAGGTGGCAACCTCGTTAAAAAATGCATTCAAGCCGCTGCACCATTTAGTGTTTTGTGGCTACTTAGTTTTTATTATTATCTTATTATTTATAAAAAATATATGTAATAAATAAATAAAAGAGATGGCAACTTTGTAAACAAATTATTTTTATAAAAAAATTATGCTTTGCTATTAAAATTTTATACAATAATATTTTTTAGTTATTTTGATTAATTGCTTAAAATTCAAAATTAAATATGTGGCAACTTTTAGTTTTCAAAATTTTTCTTTCATCTATAAAAATATAAATTTAAATATGTGGGAACTTTTATTTTTAAAAATTTTCTCCCGAACTATAAAATTCAATTCCATTTCCATTTTATTTGTTCGTTCTTTTTTTAACTTTTAGCTCCTTCAGTGTTTTAATTGAGATGCCACACTTATATGTTTCTCATATATTTTTATTTGTCAATTTTTCAAGTTTAGTATACTACTATTTTATAAAGTAGTGCACATTTTTATTAAAATATGTTTACAAATAAATTGAGGGTGGCAACCTTGTTTTAACATTAAAATTTTTTTGGAGTTTTTAAAGTTGTACACATTTTTCAATGTTGAGAAAATTGCAAGGTGGCAACATCAAATATCACCATTTTGTAGGAAAAATAACTTAAACAACGAATCTTCGATAAATTTTTGTCATTGTGGTCTTTTTATAGTTTTATAAGTAAATATATATGACAACATTTGCTCATATATGTGTTTACGTACCAGAAAGTTTTTACATTAACCAAAAGTATTTTAAATTTAAACACTTTAGATTATTTAAAGTAATATTTTCATGTTTCGTCACAAAATTTAATTTTTTTATTTAATTGTATGGTCTTCACTGTTAGTGTTTCATTCATTCCACTCATTCATTCACGCTGCTGCTCGAAATATTTATTAAATATTTATGTTGCAATTTTTTTCAACTTTCTTTTCGCTTACGTTTCGTTTAAAACCGTATTTACATTTCCCGCAGCTTTAATGCCGCGCTTTAACACAAACAACTGTGTTATTCGTCGCGGCGGCTGTAACTGATGGCCGAGTTGGCGGTTTTGCCCGAAGAAGGCAGCAGTGATGCGCCAGCAAGCAATCAGCCATTGGCGCTCCAACGCCCCGATGTTGGGTTAAAAGAGTTCTTGCCTTTGGCACAGAGCAACAACACGATGGCTGCTGCGAGCAGAATGAAAGCAAAGTAAACAAACAAAAACCAAACGAAGAATGTTGCAGCAGCAGCAAAAATATGTTATGGGCAACGAAGAAGCGTATCCCTCCTGAGTTCCGCCGTCGAGGACTGCGCCTGCAACGCCAGCAAAGAAGCCAACATTTTTTTTTCAATTTCGCACAAACAATAATAATCGGATCGAATTGGTGAGCGACAAAGCATACAAGAGCGCAACAACAACCACAAAGTCGTAAACAACAATAAAATGTTATATATGCCCAAGCAAATTACCAAAGGTAGTCACGATTGCGAAATGTAAGCGTGCTGGAAAAAGCGTTCACGTCCGCGTACGCGCTCGAAATACCGCAATGCAATGCTGATGACGTCGGCGCCGCGCTATACTTGTACACATACGCCACGTATAACCGTACAAAGCAAAAATACAATTTGCGCGCGCGTGTTTGTGAGCGCTCAGTAAACCACGTCCGCCGCTTTGCGCTGTGGCAAATCAAGACAAGCGACTAGACGCGGCTGATAGCTAAACGGAAGAAATATAGTTATTGTTGTTGTTGTTGATGCTGTTGCTACGTGCGCGCGATGCAAAAATCGTTACAACAACAGCAAACACAAGTTGCAAATTGCTTAGAAAGCAATCGGTAAATGGGAGAAGATGACGCGGTCCATTTGCTAGTCAAGCCGCCAGACAAGTCAGCGTCGCGCAAACAAAATGCACAACAATGTCGATGCGGCAGTAAATATTTTTTCAACAATGAACGAATTGCGGGCATGGCTCGTTGCAAACAAGAGAAAGGATGCACAAGAAAGGCACAAAAAAGTCAGCGAAAATCAATATAAGGAAGAGCGGCGTAAAAACTGTGGCACAAAAGCCATCGCGGCGGGTTCAAAGAGCACAACGATATGCATATATTTGGTAGCAGACAGCAGATTTTTTGATTATTTAAAGCAATACCTAGTGGCGCATGCGCCTTGATAACTGGTTGTACAAAAACAACAATGTCAAATAGAATTGCATACAAATTTGAAACTACCAACCTTCTGTTGGCGCGCCGCGCGTAACTAGAAAGTAAGCGTCCAACGCGTTGTCTGGCACATGTCCACAAACACACACACTCATACAGATTGCAATCGCAAAAATTTGCACGTTTAAATGATAAACGAAGTGCCTGACAGCGATAGGGACAGCGAAGCGCGCATTGCCAACCATCCAATGAACGAGCAAACCGCGTGTGCGGCCAAAGCGCACATTGCAACGCGGCAAAAAACTCTAGCACACACACGCGCGCATTCGTGTTGCACAAATAATGACAAAATACAATTTGCTGCAAAAATGAAGCACTCACACATACACACACAGGAATATACACGAAGTCAAGTAATTTCAACGTTTTGCCGTCGTTATTACATTTTACTCACAGTCGTTACTACACGACACATTCGCTTCGCTTTTTCCACACGCGTTCGTTCGTAAATTTGTGAAGCGTCTTTCAAGCGCTTGCGACGCGCATTTTTATACTTTCACCACACACTAGATACTAAGCGACCACCAAGCGTGTTGCGAACCGATTGCGTGGACTCACTCTCAATAACTGATTTGCTGAGCTCATGGCAGCTGGCGTCAGGCTGTTGTTTGGCTACGACCGCGGCACGAAGCTGGCAGCCGCTCGATTGGCACAACAACGCTTCGGGTGGAGCAGTTGCCGAGCTACGAATTGAAGATTCTGCGGAGGATGTGAGAGTCAGCGCTAGTCAGATATAAAGGATGCTGTGCTGCGCTCTTGCTCTCTGCTTTGTTAGTGTTGATGTTGTTGTGTTATTCAGTTTTTTGTAGTTGGTCATTGCTGGTTGGGTGCTTATAATTTGTTTTTGGTCGCTTTGTTGCTAATTTTTTGGGTTTTTTTCGCGAACATTGCGTATACGCCGTGTCTCGCTGCCGCATTAACAGCGCCAGGAGCTAGTAAATGGTAGAATGGAGTAGAAAAAAAACTTCTGTTGTATTGTGCACTTGGAGAATTTCACGTTGTAGGGCGTTTCAGCGAAAAAGTCTTTCTGGGAGACATCTTTAATAATATAATCCATCTTAAGAGAAACACTATAATAATAACACTTGCAATATTCTCTCTATCGACTTTTTCGAGCAACAACTGTATATATTTATCTGTCGTAGCCTTCCATAGGAAAAATAATCGGTCCGGTGGATTACACCGATCTTAGTAGAAAAAAAATTTTTTTTTTTACTGAGGCTCTTCTTCTTGATTCCATATATTTGTCATGAATTTTTGACAAACTTATGATCGAAAAATAAAATACCTGAATATTTGTAGAGCATATATTATAATTAATTGCTGTTTTCATAACAAGACGTTCTAGAATGCAACAAAACTTGTCTTAAAACAATAGATCCGGACATATGAGTTCTTTATCATCTCTTCTTCTCTTTAAGTCAACAATAATTCTCTATTTACTCTCTATATCTCTATTAGAACTTTAGAATATGTCTCCAAAGGCTCTCGAAAGATTTCGGCTGTCTAACGCAGTATATTTTTATCTGAGTATATAAGTGAGCAAACTAGCTTTCTAGCTTGGGTGAACACCAAAAACTCAATTTTTCCTTATGGAATCAATTGAAACCTAAATTATGCAGCGGTGCTATCATTTTTTGTAACGATAAATCGAAGATGATAGCATGACCGACCACGATTTTGGACAGGGTGGCGTACCTAACTACACATTCTTAACCATAACGGATTTTTTGTCAAATTTTGATGATAATCTGACAATACCAAGACTACTTGATAACTGTTTTCTATCATTTGACATCCTGTCATACGTCAGCTGTCATCCGCGTTATACTAATTTTGGATATTCAATATTAATTGTGTTTTAAGTAATAACGTAATAATTTTTCTGCATCACATCGACTACTTTCTTAAATTTTTCCCAGTTTCTCTCAGTGTTAGTGCAATTGCCCAACTTTCGATCAGTTCACCGCCAGCGGCAACAAATATTCAACCAAATCCATTCGGGTCCTAGCGTCTACTCCATGCCGCTCATCGCCAGCCGCATGTACAGCTACGTCGTCGTCATGCTTCGCGCATTCGTTGACGACGGATAACGGCATAAAAGCAAGGCATGTCGGCGTTGCCGAGCGTGTCGAGTCGAAGTTTGAATCAGAGTAAAAATTGTCGTGGCACACAAATCACACACATAAACGCATACACACGCATTCATTCACGTATCAGATGTGCATGGTAAATACATTGTTGTTGCAATTGCAGTTAGCATTTTAATTGTTGTAGTTTTTGTTGATAAAATTTTTTTTTTTTTAAATTTGCAGTTCAACCACATTTTCTTTTATAGCATATTGTTATTATTGTTGTTGGTGGAATTTGAAAAAGTAATTGTAAATGTGTTATTGTTGTTGTTATTATATGCTAAGAGCCCACAATTTTTCTTGATTTATTATTGTTTATTGCATTATTATTGGCATTTTTTCCGGTTTTCCTTTTTGCTGTTGTTGCTATTCCAACCAATTGCCTACAACCCTATTATCGCTCGTTGCTCCATGTTATTTGCAGTCGATTGCCAACAGTTACAGACGTCTACCACTATTCGCTACGCCCCTCAACCCATCCTCCACATTTCTGCTTACTTCCCGCCGCCATCCTTCGCTTTCCACCCTCCATCGCAGCGTCAAACTTACTCTGAAGCGGTTTGCTTTGTTAAAGTCGCACCGCTTGTCACACTGCTGGCGACTGCACTGAACTGCAGCGTAAGCGTGGGGAAAGCAGCGCGAATGCAAGTGACCAGTAATCGAGCCGACAGCTTACTGATCTGTCGGTCATCGCGTGGCTGAGTCGCTGTGTGCTTTCGTCGTTCTGCTGGTTGGTGGACTGACAAAGTTTTTGACGCTTTTGCGCTCTGTGACGGTGTTGCGTTGCCAGTGTTGGAAAAGTTTGCGCTTGTTGGTGCCGCTGCTCTTTGTTGCCACTTCAGCATCAGCTACACTTTTAACGGAACTTCTTACTATTATTATGTGTCTTGATAATACTTGTACAGCACAGTGGTTAAGTTTTGAGTAATCTTCCTGCAAATATTTTCCATTACATTTTAAAATTTTATAAATACAAAATACCGGTTTTGATTCTAAGGCATTATGAGTGTTTGATAAAAATACGAGAACTTTAAGAATCACGATAATCGGTTCTACATAAACGGAAGGTACTCAAATTTATATGCGGTCAAGTTCTATGACGTTTTATTCTATCAAGAAGAGTTATATTGTAAATTTTCATCATAGCCTCCAATTATTGTTACAAAATACTTAAATTTATTTCTTACTGTAACAGCTAATCACGTGCATATTTGGTTTCGTCGATGCCGTTTCGTTAAGCTTGACGTCAAAGAGACGCCACGCTCTGAAAGCCCAATTATCGAAAATATCGATAAAATAACAGAAGACGTCAAGTCCGAACCTCGTTTCCCCAGCAGCTAAATGTTGCACAAAATACCATTTAAAACCATATGCTATAAATAAGGCTGAATACAAAAGGAATACATTGTGCTTCCTGTATGTCACCCGAAATATCGCGAGAAAACCTCATGGACAGAATTTCCATCTACGAATCGTTACTGAGTCGCAACGAAATCGATCTATTTCCGAAACGGATGGTCACTGGTGATGAATAGTGGGTCACTATGAACTATGAGCTTGTACTATAAACAGTTGGGCTAGAAGAGGCCAGCTTTGGCCAATAGGAGACAAATTGAGTTACAACAGGACAACGGCAGGCCATATACGAATACATCGATAGCGACTTGTCAGCAGCTCCGAAAGCTGGTCTCAGAGTTTCTTATGTATCCACGTTATAGTGCGGACCTGGCACATATATTAGTTCGAAAACACATATGAAGTACTTTGACGCAAACTTCGGCCAAAACAGTCGCTTTTTGATCACGCAATAGCATCTCTGGATCTCGAATGATTTTTCTATTACCCACATACGATTGTTTTTCCTAATGGCTTAATTTATAGTCTGTATCGTTGTGGTAAATTAAATAGATTTTATAAATAAAAAAAAAAGTTTTAGGCGTTAAGTTGTCGCAATATATTAAAAATGAGTAAAAGTAGAAAGTTTACTGTAAAAATTTTAGACGAATCGAACGCGTAGCTTCGTTTTGACCGCATGTGGTAGAGTTCATGTTAGCGGGTTTTTAGAAAAAAATTTGCAAGATCTTTCGCAGATTCGACTCGTTAACATATAGTACATTTTAGGTTAAATAAGTTCTTCTGAACATTTCATATTTTTCTGAGCTTATACTATTGTGGGAACTAGAAAGGAATATGGTGTTGTGGACAACAAGCAATGTTATTGAAGCTGGTGAATACAAAGAGATCAGTGATCGTGGAATAGACAGACAATCAAAATGGATCTCGTTGGTTCCAAGTATGATCTGTTCCAGTATGATCTGTCCATATGTGAGTGTAATCTAGCTCAGATTTGAAATTAGAAATCAGGAGAACTTTTGGTGAAGTTATTGCTTCTTCAGCGTAGAACTTATCCTATGGCACCGTCCATGGTCCATACCGAGCTCAGACAAGGGATTTTTTTTATTATAACTAAGCAATCCTCTGAGATGCTGTACAGGGTGCACAGAAAACGTTATTGCTGCTATGGAAAAAGTCACCGATTGGTGTGCTCTATGAGCCGGGGGAATCATTGGTCCATATTTCTTCAAAAATGAAGCCGCTGAGGTTTCCGTCAGTGCGGAACGCTATAAAGCCATGACATACGTCAACAGTTGCTGCAAAATTTGGTCGTAAATTGGAATCATTTGAAAAATCATATGTCTCAGCCCACAGTGCATAACTGTAGTTGCTGGTTGTTGTAGAGCAAAGAGCAAGCATTTGTTGCATTATGGTCACATGCATCTCGCTCGGTATGTGATTCTGCACGCATGCCACACAACAGCATATAAAACATTTAAAGTTTTTATAACGGCAACGTATCGCAAGGCACTAGCAGCAGCACACTCACACACACATGCAATTGTAGTCGCTAGCGTCGTTGCTTCTGCATCACAACGGTCAAAAATTGCTGAAAATTCATTTCAACTTCGAATTGTTGGAAATTTGTCACGTCGCCTTTTATTCTTAGCCAGCTTCCCGGAGGAGGTACATACAGACGGAAGTAGAAAATTGGCAATCGTCTTCGCGCACAGCTAAGAGTGATGATTTTTTTCGTTTTATTTTTGCATTAATATTTCGTATCAAAATTTGTTCGCACGCGCTATGATGGGTGTGTATGTATGTATATATGCATGTGTGTGGTGCGCGTCTTCTGCTGATGTTCAAATGTCGCCATTGTCGCGGCGGAAATTGTCTTTACCATGCAACACTATTAATCAGCACTCTCACGGTGTGTGTATATTTATATGTGTCGGTGTGTGTGTGCAATAAAAGACGCGGTCGCTCGGCTCGTTACTTTAACAATAATTTATTATACAAAGAAGTTTAAGTGTAAGAATTTATGACATAATTTTGTACTGAATTAGCTGCATGCATTATAAATATGATGAGAGTGAAATAAA